GCTTTACTATATGTATTAAACATGAGTTTTGCTGCCCTTCCAAAGAGGCTTTTGTTTCAGATCTTAAATATTGGCTAGAGCAACAAGAAGTCTGTAGTGCTGGCCAAATCTACTCATTCCCAAACTCACAATCCTATGGTCACAGCTGATTCTGATATTATTGTTACCCTGAAACAGGTTAGGTTGAAATAGCACAATGCCCTGAGAAGTACCAGCAATAAGAAAAAAAAAATCCCTAAATAAAATACTAAGAAAGCAATATTTTTCCTAACAAAAGTGGGGAGAAAGTCCTGAGTTAAATCAGTGCCGGGAGTCTTTGCACTCAACATCAGTGTCACTGGGAAATGATGGGATCTCAACAGGAGCCTGGAAAACCCAGTACCTTTTTGTCATCATGTTCCTTGTTCTTTTTTCAGTAAATAGGCTCCCATGCATGAGTGTGTTGAAGTGGGAAATTCCCTGGATCAGAGAGCCAAAATCTGTCCTAATATTCTGTACGTGTTGGTTTGAGACGATGGGATTTGCAAAACTGAAAAATTGCTGAGTGGCTTCTTCCAGCTTGCCTTTCCTCAGGACAGGATCACTCCTGATCACTGTGGGGTCACTCCTGACACTTCAGGAGAGCTAAAGGCGTGCTGCAGAGTCTGAGCTGCTTAGCTAAGAGGTCAGAACACGACAGTGAAAGTTGTGAGTCCTTTAACTCTTTCAAGGCAAGTCACTTAAGCACCCTACAGTCACTTTCAAATCTTGAAATGCAACCTAAGATTTTTCTTAATGTATATAACATGCATGGATCTTGGATGCAAATGCCTCAATAAATGCACATTCTGATTATCCACCCATATTCTGATTTCCAAAAGACACAAACCCAGCTCTTGAGCCACCCTTCTGGTCTCACATTGCTAAAAGTTACTCATGAAGTTGTGGGAATTTTCTGCACTCATTTCTTCTCTTTTCTGGAATTGATGGAATTGGCATTGGAAGCAGGAAGAAGCTGTGCTTCTGTTTAACTGGATCAAAAGGCCAAGCCCTCTAGTTTTAATACTAATTTTGTATTGCTTACTTTCAAAGTGGTTTCCAGGAATTAAATTTTTCCTCTTCTACAAACAGACCAATGATAGCACCCACATTTTGCAGGAAGAAGACTGGTGTCTTGTCCAAAATTGAAGACTTTTTGACTTTTGGGTCAGATAGAGGGTGAGAACTCAAGCACTTTTGGCACCAAGAATGAGCCCTTCTCCATCCCCATAGATTTTTAGTACAACTCAGCCTTGCTAAAAGGCAGGAACTCAGTTTTTTTGTCTTTTGCCTAGTGATGAGTAGGTTGCAAATTACCTTAAAGCAAGTGTGTCTGTTCTCTTCTTGGTGCAGCTGAGATACAGCTCCACTGTTATTCACATGTGCTCACTGGGACCTGGTGAAAGGAGATTTTAAAAAAGGAGCCTCTAATAGAGAAAACAATAGAATATATGAACATTTGAGAGCCGCCCTCAAGAATTACAGTCTTTGTAAATTACAAGTTTTTTCTGCCTTTGGGTAAGAAAAAGAGAAACTGAAGAGAAGACACTTAATTCTAATGTGAAGATCAGCTGTATCTACAGTTTATAATCCTACAGAGCACAACTGATATTATCAGTTTCCTCCTACTGTGGGTAACTGCTGATTTCTCAATGAACAAATTACAACAGCAAAGCTGAGCATGGTCTGAAGAGCTGGAAAGCACCTCTTGGATTCTTGGATTCTGTCTGCTCTCCTTGGTGAGCAGCAGTGAGTGTCAGCAGAAAGGTGGTTCCAGGATCTAGAGGACATCGTGGACTGCTTGGCAGCCTTTGAGGCTGCAATACACACCTGGTTTGCCAGGGGTTTGGGCACTGCACACCTAAGGCTGCGTGTTGGAAGGATGCCCTTAGGGAGCCAGAGCAACTTAAAATGGTGTCTTTAGTGAAATGCTGATATCCTCAAGGTAATAATCCTTGCCCAGGACGAAGGTGTTGGTCAAGGGAACTTGTTAAGAAAGCTAAAGTTGATTCCATAACCTCTATTTATGCTGTTTGTATATGATATTTGGAAAGTTTATGTAATGATATGCAATGTAAGGTGCTGCACTGTACCTTTCTGTGTGTAGAAAACTTAAATTCAAAGCATTTTGCTTTACAGTCTTTTCGTGGAAGGTTGCGAGTTTCTTATTCATCTCTGTCCAGTAATACTGGTTTTAAAGCCTGTGCCTTCAAAAGAATATTCTTCTAATGGAAGTATGTTTCTTGGGGAATAACCATTTTATTGTACACTGATCAACTTTTGGACTTGTTTTCCTTCTTTCATTCTGTTACTTACCAGCATCCTTTAGAGAATGCATGCTGAAACCTTTGGGATAAAGCTCTGTTCCTCTTTGTTGTTGAATAAGTCCTATCGATTCTCTTTGAATTACTCGAGTGTAGAGTGTAAAGCAGTGTAAACCAGATTCTATTTCTTAAAGGAGGTAAGCCAAGTCTTTGAGGGCAAAGCCCTGCAAGAAAGCCTGTGGCTCTGCAGCCCTGGTCTAGCACAGTGATTGGGATTTTGTAACTCAATTTGGGGATTCAAGATGAAGCCTTAATTTCAGTTATCTCACTGGGAACCTGGGGTTTAAAAAAATGGCTCATACCTCTTAAGAATAAATGTTTTGCAACTTCTTCAGGTTATGCAAACCATAATTTTCCCCTTTTCTTCCTTCCCTGATGAATCACCAAACCTTTCTCTGACAGTGGAAATAGCTGAACAGATATTTCTTAGATTGTAAGGAGATAAAGGACTATGCCTATAGTATTTTCTGTGCAGTGTGTCAAAGGCAGAGAGAGATGTCTATGATTCTCATGTTGTCAGCATGTTCTTCACCTCTCATGCTCCATTTTACTGACCTCACCCCTGTAATTTTATATTTTATTCTTTCTATTGCCAGTACAGATCAGAGTCCAATAAGCAAGTTGTAACATGCTAAAGCATTCCACAGGCCCTCTTCTGTCCCTGTCCTGTAGCTGAATCCTGACAGTGGATTTAGCCAACAAGCAGCTTCTAAGGCAGTAGTGGAGGCTGTAGTCTTTGGATGTAAAATACATTTCTACTGTGTGATCCTGTTTTCTTGAGAGAAATGTCAGTGCAGCTCTGGGATGGGTCTGCACGACATGAAAGAATTAGGAGAATGTGATCTCAAATCTAAGCTAAGGCAGTGTTATGAATAATATAAAAAATTGGCCTTGTAGTATTAACCTGAAGAAACTGAGATGAGACAGGCTGAAATAATGAAGGATCAGGGTGCCCCATGAAGCTTGAGGAGGCTGATTTAGGTTTCATCTTCAGGCACTATAAGAGTATGTCTGCTGAGGTAATTCCAGGTAATCCACTACAAACTGAACTGCAACAGCCAGCCAAAACCACTCATCATCTGTCACCTGCTTTTTGATCTTCTGAAATCTCTTAAGACATCTGTCTGCAGTTGTATAGAATGGAAGGAAATTCAGCTTCTAGGATGCAAAGAGCATATTCTGGCATGTGTCCTGTATGTCCTAAAATAACTGCCTTAGGCAGTTGTTGTAGGAGTATTTGCCATTATCTTTGACATGAGATCTCTTTTCCTACAGGCATGTTTATCTTTCAAAACAGTAAAGAAATAAAAGTCACCGAGTGGTGTAACTTCTGTGACAAATGCACTTGCTTGTCTCAGGCTTCTGAAATAAAAGATCAGTTCCCTTTTGTGATAATTTGATTATTGGCTTTTTCTGACCAGAACTTTTTTGTGATATTTTTGAGCTTTGATTGTGAAGTATCTGCTGTAGGAAACTGGAATGAAATATGATAATTTTGGCTTGGGATTGCATTTGAAGGAAAATAAATATTTCCTGTGTCAAAGTAAATTTTTCAGAAATCACCCGAGTGCTCTGGATTTTTTTGATTAATGCACAGAAATTGGCACTTCTGCTGTAGGTATTGGCTGGCTGTTGGGAAGAAAGCAATAGAGCAGCAGAGATCTTCTGAATCTTGTCTTCCTTTGCAATAGTGCAGGCATTTGCTCCCCTGATTTCTTTTGGTCAAGCAGTTCTTTCATTTGCATCTTGCCTCTGTACAGGAGAGTTGATAAAAAACAGCTTGCTGTCCACAGTCTTCACACAGCATAAACTTAATAGCATATGCAGGACATTACTTATGGGTCTTTCCTCTTTTTCCTGTACTGTTTGGAACAGAAAGGAGTTAATGTTAAAGGAGTTGTGATTATTTCTGCTATGATTTGTATGGATGGATTTTGGCAGGGTGGCAAACCCCCCTTTTTTGCCACGGTTTTGGCTTAACTTCCTTACTGCTGGCTCATCCCTGATGAGCCAAATGATTAATGTGTTATTTAATTTCCTTGTGTCTTTTTGTTCTTAAAAGTCCTTGCAACAATGTACAAAACCCCAGTAACAATAGCTGATTTTGCAAACCACAGCTAGATTTTGTTCCAAGGGTTTTTTCCAGGGTAGCACTGAGATCTTTCTATTTAGAAATATATTTCTATGTAGTTTATATTCTTCAACACTTAGTGTGAGCAGATCAATGTGTTTTCTCAGTGTGTAATATTCTTTTGCTAAGAAATTACTTCTGTTTGATAAGGGGAATTTAACCTATTGGCCACAGCGTCAGACCAAAGACGAACCAGGTCCACACATCTGCGGGTGGTAGATGCTGTCAAGGCAGAGGTTTGCTATGAGAATCTCAGCTGGCTTTAAGTTCAGGAAACTGGGAAAAGATGGGGGTCAAATAGAAGTGAGGAAACTTGTTTTGGATGTGCCAAGTGTCCTGCTCGTGGCCCACCTCTGATACCAGTTAAATGCTGCCACCTCCCACTCCTGACTCTGGCTGAATGGTCACTGGTGTCTTAATGATGCTTTGGCGTGGTCTTGCAGAGCGGAGTCCTGCAGCCAGAAGAAAGTTGGCAAATAACTCCAGTTTCCCCAAGGCCTTGATTTTTTATTTCTTTCTGTTTCCAGGTGCCAGTCAGCCACTCTGCCGCCCCTGTTGTCCCCGCAAAGAAGCCCTGCCTACCCCCTCAGTGACAGCGAGGACTCTTCCCGCTCTACGGGGCTCTCCAAAGGCTCCAGCTCCAGGCGGTGCCTCAAGGACTGGAACAGCCGCACGTCTACGCTGCGAAGCACCTCCACGAGCCCCTCGGACACCGACTCCCCCAGCCGCCCCCTCAAAGCCATCAGCGTGGGTGCTCTGGACAAAAGGCTGTCCGTGTTCAAGGCTGACCAAAAGGAGACTCCAAATAAGGGTCAAGACAGGGAAGCAATAGGGAGCCATCCACTCACCAGGAGCACTCTGTCCTTGGGCACTGCCTCCAAATTGAGGACCCTCTCCATCAGCAGGGTGAGCGTCCGCTCGCAGGCGCTGGACATCCGGCAGAAGATCACAGAATGGGAATGCCGCCGGGAGCTGTCCCCCAGGACGAGCGTGTGTATGGACAAGAGGGATGCTGGGGAGAGGTCGGGCAGTGAGAGCTGCCCCAGTGTGCTGACCTCTCCCTGCAGCGACAAAACATTTGATTTCAAAGGGCTCAGAAGAATGAGCCGAACATTTTCCGAGTGCTCTTACCCAGAAACAGAGGAGGAGGAACTGCTGGACAGGGATTCCTGCCATCGGTTTGAAAAGAGACCAGGCAGGAGCGAACCTCCTTTCCTTAAGAGCCATGTGAGGAAAGAGTCCTCAGCTGTGCTCAACAGAATCCAGAAGATCGAGCAGGCACTGAAGGAGCAGTCGGGCAGAGGCCTCCCCCAGTTACCAAGTAGCTGCTACAGTGTTGACAAAGGGAGGAAAAACTCTGGGACTCTGAGTACTGTGGAGGGACTGAGCGAAGCCCTGAGCGATAGCAAAGGAGGAGGCGTTATTTTGGGGAGTGAACCAGAAACCCCTCCTGAGGCTGAGAAAAGCAGTAAAACGAAACAGGGGGTCACTGTGAACTCAGCTGGCCCCAAAGTGCTCCTGGAAAGCGCAGCTAACAGCGCCGTCAATCCCGTCCCCAAGCCCAAACGCACCTTTGAGTACGAGGCAGACAAATCCCACAAAAGCAAACCAAGCAATGGCCTACCTCCATCTCCCACACCTGCTGCTCCTCCTCCCCTCCCGTCCACTCCTGCGCCCCCCGTCACCAGGAGGCAGAAGAAAGAGTCGCGCTTTCACAGAAAATCCCAGAATAGGTAAAAGCCAAGGAAATGCGCTCAGTTCTTCAAACTAATAAATAAATAAATAGACTATATTTTTGCAGTAGCAATATTTTAAATTCTCTCTCTAATGCAGTGCTTTTGACATAAGATAACCTAGGAATTGAATGCAAGACAGTTGTTTTTTTCTGCTGGTCTGCACAGATGGAATGCACTGGTACAATACCTTTGAATGCCTTCAGTTCTGGAGTTCTAAAATCTGCATCCTTCGGTCCCCAAAAAATGTTCTAGGTTAGGTGTGCTAAAGGCTGTCTAGTTCATTCTGGCACAAATGCCCTTATTTGTCATTATTAATGGACCATAATTTCATTATTGTCTGGTAGTGGGACCATAGCTGATCCCTCACAATCTCTTCTTCTTGTAAAATGTATTTGCAGAGGTTTTCTATTTCCAAAGCTCATTGCTATAGCAATTGTGTCAGTTTTATGCAAAGTAGGTGATTTTATTTAATTCAGTCCTTAGGAATATTATCCTAAATTATTATCAATACCTGTAGAGGATTAGTGCTGAGAAAACTGTTTTATCACAGAAAGTCCTGTCATTCCTGAGTTAATGATGGGGAGAGTGTATGGCTACATTTCCCCAGCAATTTGTTGAGCTTGGCTTGTTCTAATCATGTGATTCCTCTTGAGTTTTAGACATGGTAAAACTCATTCTGCTCATTGCTCGGAAAATTGTAGGCATAGTTGTTGCTAAGCATTCAAATTGCAGCATTTTTAATGGGTTCACATGTCTGTGCATGTGTATGATACACACCCTCCCTTGATACTTTGTGATGAGATTTGCAAAGAACTGCTAAACAGCGTCTCAGATGCACACTATCCCTTCAGATTCTGCTTGATGTTAGCTTAATTATTAAAGATTTTTTTATCACAACCTCACCTGAATTATACTGGGACAGGAAGAGGAGCCTTCAGGTTCTGTCCTCTTCTCTCAGGAGACACCTGCTTCTGAAAGGTCAAACACCTCTGCTGAGGCATGTTGTTTCTTCCAGAAAGGTGTGAGGGGATGTGGAAAGTCCACAGATAAGCTCTGATCAGCAGTGCTTATCTCTGAGTCCTGGCAATAATCTCAGAGGAAGTAAATCTAGTCTTTAAGGAAAATTTGTGAAGTAAAGCTGCTCTCAGTTTGTTCAGCACAGCATTTGCAGTGTGCAGAAGATAAACAATAGTTTTTAAATGTTTTGGTGTAAAAGATAGCCTTTATTGGAAAACGGGAAAATCATCTAAGAATCACAGTATTTTATCACAATGAGTTTTTGAGAAGAAGTTTTGAAACTTCTTTCCAGAAGAGGTAAAATTCTGCTTGCACCTGCTTTTCTGCAGATCCAGTCTCCTGTCATAGAGTTAGACAACAGCACAGTTCAGCAAAGGCCTGGGCTAGGGCTAGGGGAAACAAGCCTTCCAAAAAGCATTATTTATCAATTTAAGTTGTAGAATATAAACTGTAAGGATTAACAGGCTTGTCATGTGTATCTGATGATTCTTGCAAATCAGTTTGACATTTTCCTGGGTATGTATCCATTCATTTCTAACAGTTTTACCCACTGTAGCTTAATGATTTCTCTGGACAGAACTCTTGTCAATCATGATCTAAATAAGTTCAAATCAACCTCCCAAAAATCTCAGGTTTGCTCTCTGACTTCAATGCTGAGTGGAAATCCTTTATAAAAAACTTAATTTTATTGTCTTTGGTACTGTTCTTCCTTCAATTACAGAAAGAAGAACTCCAAGATTTACAAAGAACTTAAGACCATAGAAGTCAACTAAGAATGACAGTATTTGGTTGACAGTAATTACTGAAATCTCAGTACATAAACTGTTCTTTTTTTTTGAGAACAGACATTACTCATTGTGCCTGCAGCTTGTAGCTGTGTGTTTCAGACTGAACATACATGTGGTTTGCACTCACTGCAACGTCATGCAAATGGACTGAGGGTATTTATTTTCCCAATACTTCAGTTGAAAGCACCGATTTTATTTTTGGTGGCTAATTCAACACTAGCAGTATGGAGGAAATCTCTCATGTTTGCCTGCTAGCAAAAAGCTAGGCTGGATCTGGAGAACTTGGTGCCAAGAGCAGCTTTAACATTTCAGGGTGGTGTGAGCTGGGTGTTCCCCAGCAGTTGGAAATCCTCTGGCACACACACAGTGCAGGAGAGGAGTGTCACAGGATAGACTTGGGACACATGGACCACAGCTGAGTGTCGGTCCACAAAGCCATTCACATCATAGTGGTGCCTTAAAATCTCTAGGAGCTGGATATTTAACTACTTTAGAAAGTCCCATTTCATACACAGCTGTGCCTCCAATGTATCCTTTGTAACTGTGAGTAGCTGTGGAGGAGCAGGTGTCTGGATCTGACACGCACAGACTGTTTCTGCCACAATCCTGATGTGAATAACTTGGATCTGGATATTCTGAAGATGAGGGAAAGGAGAGAGAGGAGGCTTTTAAGCCTGATCCCAGACATAAACCTGCTGCAGCAGACAAGCAGGAAATGCTCTTTTCAAACACAGTGTTCTGTGCATTAGTCCCCGTGTTACCTGTAGGGATGCTCAGGCCGAAGTGTCTCGTGGGACTCTGTCCCTGCCACATGGATATGCTGTAGCATATGCTCCACTCCAACTGGAAAGAAGAACAAGGCTGGGTTTGTGGCAGGATGATTTATTGTTAATCTAGCTTGGGGCTCAGTGAGCGGATACGGGCACCAGCACAGTCCACACAAGCTTTGTAGCACAGCGGGATTTACGCTCTGACCTGAGCCTGTTTCTGTCACCATTTCATCCCATTTTTGTCATCATTTAATTTCATTAAATCAATCTAATGAATGCCAGCCCCTGTAGTGCTGCCACTGCAAATCATCCCACCTTGAGTGTAGATACTGCCCCAGAGTACAAGGGCTAGGTGAACTGGAGCATGGGAAGAACTTGGGCTTTTCTCCCTCTAGAACTGCTCAGTAGCACTGGGGCAGGTGTGAGTGGGAGGTGAATCACCCTGGGGAGGAGACAAATTGTGTGGGTTCATCTGACCCAGCTGGTCCTCACCTTCCTGCCAGAAAGGCCAAACCTTCAGCCCCTGAGCCATCAACCTAACCTGCTCATGCACTCCAGAGAGCACTAATTCCCTCAGTGCTTTCTCCTTTGCTGCCAGTGCTTGGGATGGGGTGTCCAAGGGATTTGGGTGACTGGCACATTGTCCCTTTGGCATTTGTGCACTGAGCTCTGCACAGGAACACATCCAAAGGTTCAAAGGCATGTGAGTGCTGTCAAACTAAGGGCTACATCTCCTGGAGCAACCAGTGCAGGAATGCTTCTCAGAGACTGTGTCTTTCTTTGGGACAGAGGGCCACATGTTTCTGGGGCCTCTGAAAAGAGCAAAGTAATTTCTAATCTGAGGACTATGCTACTAATTTACTCTGTAAACTTGGAAAAAAGAACGTATTTTCTTGGTATTTTCCTCCTGTCTGCATAATGGGGATAACAATACTTCCAAGTTTGTAAAACTGACATAGATGGCTCTACTAGAAACTGCTGTGAGCACAGGACTTAGTGTCCATTAAAAGCTAGTCCTTAAAGCATGATGGAAGATTTTTTTTTTTTAATTGTGGTTCATTTTATATATATTTCTTATAATGCAAATGCTCATCTAAATGTTTGAATTTTTTTTTTTTTACTAATTATTATTGTTTTAAACTGTAGAAAATCCTTTGAGTTTGAGGATGCCTCAAGCCTGCAATCCCTGTACCCTCCCTCCCCGACTGAAAATGGAACCGAGAGCCAGCATAAATTTGGATCCAAGAGCACTTTAGAAGAAAATGCCTATGAAGACATCGTAGGTAAGAAGCTGCTGCAGAACATGGGCTCACAGCAGGATGTTGAGTGGCTGTGGGCAGGCCATGGTATTGCTGAACACGTGCCCTGTGCAGGAAAGTTCAGCGCTGTCAGTAAAGAGAGATTAAATGGAGGCTAAATGGGTTTGATCCTTCAGTGCAAATGTAGCTCTCAGGCTGCATGCAGGAAGCCTTGATTCTTTCAGACTTCACTAGGTAGTATTGGAAACAGACTGTTTGGTCAGCTTTTTGCCAGTGCTTTTCAAGAACCAAATAGTTCTTTTTATCGAGGCCTTGGCTCAAAGCCTTGAGTGGTGTAAAAATGTAAAGAACAGGACTGGAGACAGCGTTTATGGAACTACCCAATAGCGAGATTAACCTCAGAGGCCTCATGTGGTCAGCCTGAGCTTTTCAGGACTCCGGTGTGGACTGCCCTAAAGCAGTTGTTTGTTCCTGGTCTCCTCCAAGTCCCAGTTCCTGGTTAAAGAGGAATTAATTTCCTTTAGCTATATGCCACTGGGAATGCACAACAAAAAACACTGTTTTCATTAAGCTTCATAAGAAAAACATGTTTCTTTTGGTCTTAGAAGGAAATGTATGGCCTATGCATACATTCTTTTAACATCAAAAAACAGTTGTTATAATTACCAAAAATTGGGCAGCCCTTCAGAGCACAGATTTTCCACACAAGTGATGAATATCTGCATTGTTTTTAACTCTTTCAGTGTTATATTATTACAACAGATACAATGGGGACTTCATTTTACTTTGGACAATGAATCTTTATATACTGAAAGCTGGAGGGCTACCAAGACAGCCTGGGACCCTGCAGCACACATCCTCTGAAGAGATACTGACAAGCTGGGCCTGTTTAGTCTGGTAAAAAGGCACTGTAATAGTGCTTACAAATGCTTGAGAGGCAAACCAAGACAATAAAACAAAACTATCCTTGGTCATATCAGTTGATAGAGCAAACTGGCCACAAATTGGAGCCTGGGGCTCTTTGTGAGACCCAAATACTGTCTCTGGTTTGTCAGCCTTAGTGAAAACAAGAATTTACTCTTTCTATTCTCAGCTGTACACTTCCTCTATGTCATTAAAAAACAAAAATGCTGTCAGAACAGAAGCTTTCAGCTCCTACTTAGTGTCTGTCAGTTAAAATGAAAACTTTTGTAGATACTGAAAAATCTTTTTCTGTGTTGATCATCCTCATATGACCTATAGTCAGCCCTTTCTGTGACAGACCACCATGCTATTCACACTTAAAATGTATTGTGTGTTAATTACAGTGCTCATCTTTACTCAGGACTTGTCTGTGTGGCACCAGATTTTAGGTGGTAATGACTCTTTTCCTTGTCTGGTTTGTCAAATATCAAAATAAAATGTGCAGGATTGGTAAGAAGCTTTCTTCAAATGAGAAGAAATCTTGGGTTCTGTAAAACAAAATCATAATGGGCTTTTCCAACTCATGGGTACTATAAACCAGCTCCTTCAAGACTATAATTTGGGCATTTTGGCAGGGCAGTGGGAAGAGAATGCAAAATTCCAGATCTGTGGACAAACATAGGACTTCATTGTTTTGTACTGCTTTTTAACAACCTCTTTCCAAGCACTTCATTCAATACAGCAGTGTGGGGGGAATACCAAATCAGTATAATTCCTATAAACTGTCAGGCATGATTAAAGACAAGCCAAAGTGGTTTGATCTCCAGCTTTAAAGAAACTCTCGTAGTTTTGTGTATCACATCTGCATAATTTATACCAGTGGTGCTAGACCCCAGTCTCCAAGTAGCACTTTTGTGCTCATGCAAACCAGGTGTCTGCAAGAGTGAGTTTATTTTATAGATCTACATCTGCTTCAAAGCTATAAAGGGCTCTGTCACTGTGCTTTGAGTTTTCTTTGCAAACAGTTTCCCTAGAGATGCTGGTGGGTCTTTTTTTCCTGTACCTTGTTGAATCTCCTTGCCTCCCTAAAACTTGTAGGTAATAAAAGCATTGTTGCTGTAGTAATAAACTTAATTAAGTGTGTCACGTTCCCCCATCCATTAGAATTAATATTTATAATGCAAGGAAGTGTTAAAATACAAGAAAAGAAAGCTGTGAATCTTAAGCAATGCTCTAAGCAGTCTAGTGTGAGACAGAAACATAAAAAATTCAGGTTGGAAGGGACTGTGGAGTCAGCTGGTCCAGCCTCTGCTCAAAGCAGGGCTAATTTCAGCTTTGGATGAGGTTGCTCAGGGCTACATCTGGTTGAGTTTTCAAAATACCATGGGAGGATAGGTTCACTGCCTCCCTGTGCAGCCCTCTCCACTGCTTAGTCTCCATTGTGAAGAATGTTTTCTTGATGTCTCTGTGAACAAATTCTTTCCATTCAGTCTGAATTCTCCTTGTTGCTGTTTGTGACTCTTGTTCTTCATCCTTTCACCTCCAGGAAGTGCCTGGTGCTGCCTTTTCCATCTGCCTTTCTGGGCAGTGGCAGGCAGCAGCTGGGTTATCCCCCAGCCTTTCCCTAAACAGCTTCTAAGCACAAGAGTGCTAGGCCTGGAGTCAAACCTTGGTTTTTTAGTTACCACATGGCCTCTTCGTATGGGGCATATGCACATTAAAGCTTTGTTTTCCTCCTGGTGCCCTTGCACTGCTTCTTCTTTAATGCAAGGATGTACTGCAATGTGTAGTTTATCTTAAAAGGGCAGCAATGTACTTCTGTGTGTAGTTTATCTTATTTTGAGACCTGACTTTAAAAAAAAAAAAAAATTAGTAAATTTTAAGGTATATTGAAATCAAAAAGGATTGTGCTTTGAAATCCAGTGGCATCATGAACCGGACCTTTGTTCAGTTTTGTAATATTTCTGTAGACTTTAATAGATGAAATACCTGCATGGTAAGTTCAGGACAGGTATTGGATTGGAACATCATGATCTGCATTAATTAAGCCGGCGTTGTATAAAGGGATGCACATGCCTAATATAAATCAGAGCTGTATTCCATGTGCAAGGTACCATGTGGACTTCATTCGTCTTCTGTACTAGCACTCACAGAAATGTGGCAGTCATAGTAAACTTAACATTGTTTTGCTTCTTGTGGTTTTGAATGAGCCTTTAATCAGACCAAAATTGATGTGGCTTTCTGAATCCGGCTGGGGAAACCACGCTTGGCTTTGTGTGAATTCAAGAAACTATCACAGTATTAAGAGATGGCTGAGATTGTTGCTTCTGCTGTGTTTGTGCACAACAGTATTTCCTGTCACATGGACCACACGGCTCCAATTTTCCAGTCTGCTCCCCTAAATGCAGCTGAGATGTTGGAATATTGTTATTTTAGGTCTTGTGTCTCTGAAGCATTGTTGACCTGACATCTACAACAAAGCACTTGTTATCATCACCAAAAAAAGTTGAATAAATAAAGTGAAGTCAAGGTCAAGGGCCAAGTTTGAATTGAGAAAATCTAGTAGAACTAGGTGAAAGAAATAGCACTGCATTTAGAAATTAAATGTAGTGGAGGAAACCTCTGACAAGACAAACCTTCTTACTCTGAAACTCCCCAGAGTGCTGAGCACAGCAGAACAGGTGGAGATTTCCTCCAAGAGGACATGACAGATGTGCAGGAAACCCACTGCTCAACTGGGCTCCGTGTGTTGCCTCCTAGACTGAGAATGTTTAATTGAATGCTGCACAGCTCCATGTCTGCTTTGGCAGCTGGAGCTGAAGCAGTCTAGACAGTAAGACTATGCCTCAGAAACATTGCAGTGAATCTCTAAAACCAGGATGAATTTCTAAATGGGATCTTGCTGGTGGCTTCCCATTGAGAATGTCCTACAATTCACTGTCCCAGGGGCAGCTGGCCCTCTTGGGGAGGTTTTCTTATGCACACTTCTTCTCTCTGGGCCTGTTCAGTGTCATGTGTAGAAGATTATGAGCCCTTTCAGTAGCTGGACACTTCTATTGAGAGATATTTTTGTACCTTGAGAGGACAACTTAACCACTGCTTCCTGTAGGGGCATATAATATAATTGAATCTTGTTACAGCTGACACCAAAGGTGACTGATAAGTGAAACAGTGGAGTCATACACAATTGTCTGGCTGTTTTTCTCTGTCAGTTTGAGTATTGCTTCAGTTTTGGGATAATCAGCTTCTTGTTTACCTCTGCATTAAAACAGGACAAGTCACTCCCTTTATCCCTGCTGGTAAGGCAACTCATTGCTCCTAAACTAATTAGCTGGCTTGATTTCTTGTGTCAGTTTGACACAGTGCATGTCATGTAACAAAACAGGATGATTTAGCTGTTCTACTGAACCCTTCGCTGTGTGTGATCAGAGCTGCAGCAATGATGACTGAGGTCAAGTTGGAAAATGTTCCAGCTTCACATTGCTTTCAAATTAGAACACTTGCAAAGTTCTTCCAGTAAATGTGGGAAAAGGTTAGAAAGAGAGCAAGCTGATCTTTCGAGTAAAATCCCATCCTCACACGTTGCATTATCACTGTCAGGCTTTTGTAGCACATTTTAGTCTGTTGTATTATCATCCCATGACAAATCAGGGAGCAACTGGAATTCCTGGGCTGCTGTGAAGCTGAAGCAAACTTGGAGAGATTGCAACTCTGCCAGCAGTGCTGTGCTAGCTGCTTCTCTGAAGACATTTTGGGTTTTCAGTCAGACACCAGCAGGTGTCTGGAGCTAGAATTGATGCAAAATGATGGTACAAGCAGTGATCACAGAATAATATATTCCTGTCTTGTTCTGCACCCACAGTCTGCCTGTGACAGCCTAAAAAGAATGTGAGATGTTGGAAAGTGTAACAGTGGTACATTTAATAATAGACACTGTAGGGTAATGGCAGCCAGAGCGCATTAAATCTAACAGTGTTCATATGGGCCTGTCAAAGAAAGGCCAAATACTTCAGCTGATCCTATTGACAATCAGCCTGCTGCTCTGGATTCCAGTTATTTTTAATAATCATCTTGTGCCCTATTTAGATCTCAGTTTTTCTCTGTGGAGTCTGTCTCATCAC